TGAGCTGGGCTGAGCTGGGCTGAGCTGGATTGAGCTGGGCTGAGCTGGGCTAAGCTGGATTGAGCTGGGCTGAGCTGGGCTGAGCTGTGCTGGGCTGAGCTAGGCTGAGCTGGGCTGAGCTGTGCTGGACTGGACAGGGCTGGACTGGGCTGAGCTGGGCTGAGCCAGATTGAACCGGGCTGAGCTGGGCTGAGCTGGATTGAGCTGGGCTGAGCTGGGCTGAGCTGGGCTGAGCTGTGCTGGGCTGAGCTGTGCTGGACTGGACTGGGCTGGACTGGGCTGGACTGGGCTGGACTGGGCTGAGCCGGATTGAGTTGGATTTAGCTGAACTAAATTGGATTGGGCTGGGCTGCACTGGGCTGTGTTTGTGCGAGACCCAGACCTCCAAGTCCCTTTGCCTCCTGCTGCCCAGCGGCCTGTAGTGCTGCCCACACGGGTCCAGTGCTGGCAGGGTCTGGAGCCAGTGCTAAGGTCTCCTGCAGACTCATGGAGAGCTTAAGCCAGCAACCTGGGCCAGGACCAACGCTGAGCGTCCTGGACACAGGTCCCCCGGGGGCCCCCACACCCGAGGAAGCAACAGTTGTATTCTCCTGGGGCGCTGCAGGTGGAGGAGTGCACGATACCTGTGGCTCAGGAAGGCTAGGGCGGGGCTGTCAGAGCAGGGGCCGGGTGGAGAAGTGCCTCTGCTCTATGTTGAGGCCCTGGCGGGTCAGAACTGGACAGCCCCCGGGGTGCCAGGAGTCGGGGCAGGGCCGAGAGGCCTCCAGCGAAGGCCGCTGGTGCCAGGCTGTTGCTGGCACTGGGAGCGGCTGGAGGCTGCACCGTTCTGTCAGGAGGCCCCTCCCGCTGCCAGGGCCGAGGCTGTGAGTAGGTGAGCGAGCCGGCCGGGGGAGGGCGGCCACCGGGGAGGGCTGCACCCCGCCCAGGGGCAGTGGGGCGCGGGGCGGACTCGGCAGCCCACCGCACCTGGGCACCTGGCAGGTAAGCAGCAGACCGCCGTCCCCTGCTGTGTGCAGGACCCTGGGGCGGGAGGGGTGAAGCAGGTCACGTATGAGAGTAAAGGTGGCCACAAGGTCCACCAGAGCCACAAGGAGGAGGGGGTGGCGGCCACGGAGCAGGCGGAAGGGGCGGTCTGGAAAAGGAGGCCAGCGAGGCCCCAACTGCGATGCCCCCTGCACAGAGAGCGGCGGGAACAGCCTCCAGGAGAGGCTGGGGGAAGGGCACGGCGGCCCCGGGATGACAGGCGAGAACGAGGCGGGGCGAGGGCACTTGCGGACAGGGCCCCGCGGCCGCTCCCCTCCCGAGCGGAGGCCGGTGAGCGGGCGCCTCTGGACAGGCGCCTGGCCTGCGCTGCGCAGACCCCCCGCCCGGGTAGGGGTGCCCAGCTCAGGCCCACACAAGTCTGCACGAGCCACCTGCCCTTGGGTCAGCCCAGCCTGTGGTGGGTGCACCCGGCTGCCAGGGAGACTCGGGGCCCCACTGAGCTTCGGCCACAGGCCGCGCCCTGCTCTGCCCTCCGGACCCTTTCCTTCACTCAGGACCAGACCTGCCGGTGTGGGGGACCCTAGCACCCCTATTCTCGGGCGATTGTCCGGGGCCCAGAGCCCCCTTGTCAGCTTGGTGCAGGGTCAGGCAGGGGCCTTTCCCCAAGGGCACAAGTCCTGGCATGAGGAACATATGGGAGCCAGTGGCAGATATGAGGACGGTGATATCGGCGGCCCCTGGTGGCCTAGGGGGCAGACTCAGGCTAGCACCACTGACTGAGCTTGATCCGGGCCAGGGAGTGACTCCCAGGGTGGCACAGGTCTCCCCTGTCCCCCCACTGCCCCCTCAGCAGTGGATTTCAGCAGATCCGCCTGTTCTGCTCCCCACTCTTCCTCTGGTGACTCCTCTCATCTCCTGCACCTCTGGCCTGTACCCCAACTCTTATGTGCATGAATCATTTTTTTAAAACTGCAAAGAAAAAAAAAAGTTTAGCCTGAGCAACTGGAAGGCAGACACCGTCACCGAGTATGAGAAGGGCTGTGGAAGAGACTTCGACCATGAAGAACTGGCATTGGTCAGGAGAGATATCAACCAGATGTCTAAGCGGAGTTGACGCTGGTGTTCAGAGGAGGTCTGTGGGCCTGAGGTGCAAACCTGGGAAGTGTCGAGGTTAGATGGCCTCTCAGCCCTGAGGCCGAATGAAGTCAGCCAAGAGAGGGAAGGTCAAAGAGAAGAGGCTTAAAATGGGATTCAGATGCTTAGAGGCCAAGTTCCACAGTACCGGGGAGCCAAAGCAGAGTCAGGGGACATCAGCAGGGAGTAGAATGTTCTAGAAGCAAGTGAGAACTGTGTTCCAAGGAGTAGGGAGAGCTCCATGACACCAGCTGTCTCAGATGCTAGTGACTCCTTGAGGAAGAGGAGACCATCGGATTTAACGACGTTGCAATCAAGGGCAGCCTTGGCCAGGACAGTGTTGCTGAAGGGCTGGAAAGCAGAGAGAGGCATAGATAGTTTTGAAAGTTCTAAGGAGAGCTGGAGAGAGGCGTGCTGGGGGGTGGCGGAGCGGTGTGGGCTCAAGGTAAGGAATTTAAGGCAGAAGCATCACAGCATGTTTGCAAGCTACAAATGTGATGCATTGTTAGCCCTGTTTTATAGAATAGGGAACCAAGACTCAATGTTGAGTTAACAGAGCCAGTGAGCAACAGAAGTAGCTTTGAAACAGTCTGTCTAACCGACTCCAAATCCATTCTCCTACATAGGCCAATTCTGAAGAAGCAAAGCAGAGGGTGCAGCTTTGTCTCCCCAAATCACAAAACAGTAAGCAAAAACTGACATAATTAAAAGGAGAAATAGACAAATCTTTGATCCAGTGGGCAAATTTTGACTTGTTTCTTTTAACATTAGATAGATTTAAAAAAAGGAAATCACTAAGAAAGTGGAATATTTTAACAACAGGGTGGACAAATTTGACCTAGCTGACAGGTAGAGAACACACAATGCAAGTTCTTTTCAAGACCACTCTGAATATGAGCTGATCCATACAGCAGGGCTCAAAACTCTTCAGAGGGTTGGAATCATAAAGCATGTATTCTCTAAGCACAGTGGAATTAGCAAGAAAAAAAAAAGAGCCAGAAAATATTTAAATTTTAAACACTAAGCAAACACTTTAAAATGACCCAGGAGGTAAGGAAGAAATCTCAATGGAGAATTTAAACTGAAAAATAGCAAAAATATGTCACATCAAAACCTATGGAATGCAGCTAAAGTCATTCTTAAAGGGAAATTCGTAGCCTTAATCACATAAACTAGGAAACAAGACTTAAAGTCAATGAGCTGAGTGTCCATCCGAAGAAAGCGCAGTCGTGTGTCACTTCACACGGGGGCAGGTTCTGAAAAATGCACGTTGTGTGGAGATCACAGAGCGTAGCCACACAGCTGACAGCGTGGCCTGCGGCGCACGGGGCTGCCAGAGCCACTGCTGCCCATGGGGCCGCCGCTGACATGGGCGAAGGCGTGCACAGAAAGCCTCCCCTGCAGGTTGGGGCGGGGTGAGCCACTTGTCACTTCTCAGAAAAGCAGAGAACTTACAGAGAAGCTAATAGAATTAATGAATGACTCCAGCAAGCAAGGTCACACTATACAAAATGGTTGCATAAAAAAACGAATTTCTGCCTAAAGCAATAGACAATTAGACAACGAAACTCAAATGGGAACCGCAGTGCAGGTAGGGAAACAGCGGTGACGGCATCATCACGCCGTGACGTCACTCATGGGACCCTGGACTCATTCACGGGGCCCTGCAGCCCCTCCATCCTGTCCAAATCACCTGTGACCCTGCAGGGCCGCTGGCCTCCACCTCACAGCCCAGGGAATTCTGCCCGAGCCTCGGGGTACCCAGCCCCCGCGAGAAAGGCGGTCACACACAGGCGGCCCTTCCGGTGAAGCGAGGCCTGCGAAGGGCATTTCCTCATGTGGAAGGACGTTTGGGAGCTACTGTAACATGAACACAATAGCTGTATTACTCTAATTAGAAAAATACGCGCGTGTGTGTCCCTGTGTGTGTTTAGGGTTAGAAGTCAATGTGACTAGAATTTATCCTGGAAGAAGACAGGACTCGGACAGTGGACGCTGGTATTTTCTTCATGCAAACACAGCCTCAAACACACACACACACACACACGTATACACGCGAGGGAGAGAATCTCGTGTGTGTGTGAGTGTGGGAGCGAGAGATGCTTTTGTTCAACAGCTGACACCAGAATTCCTCCGGGAAAGCACCATGGGGCTGCCGGGAGGAGAGGAGCCGGGCAGGTCTGGGCCAGTGGCTGGGGATTCCCTGGGGGCCGCTGGTCAGTGCTGCCCGCAGGCCACTCCCTCGCCTGGTCCTCGCCGGCGTGCAGCCTCGCAAGCTGCCTGAGCAGGCTGCAGCGGCCAGAGCAGGGCAGCAGGTGCAGACGGAGCCCCGCGCCAAGGTGGCCCGGGCCCGAGGAGGCGGCGCTGGCCCGCGGGGGCCAGCCAGGCTCTGCGGGGGGACCCGGAGCTACGGCCTACCCTGTAGCTCCCCATGTGACTGGGAGACCCCGACGCAGGGGCCATTTATTCCTGCCTTTCTCTGCAGGGCCCTGTGTTAGCGTGGAACTGAAATAGAGGGAAGCGAGAGGCACATGCTGCCCTCACAGCCTCAAGCGGGCGGCCGGCGGGCCGGGCAGGGCCGGGGCCTGAGAGGCGGGACTCCCCAGCTCACCAGGCGGCCGGCTGCCGTGGCAGCTAAAGGTCACGGCACAACGAACCAGCAGAGTCTCTGCTTGAGCGTGAGGCTATAAAGCATTGGGGGGGGGGGCGGAGTGGGGGCACAGAGAACCTTCAGTTCCACTGAGGTTTGTGGGACCAAGTCTGACCTTGTCCTCTTTGGGGGTCTCATTGTTGCTGCAAAGTTGCACAATAAAAACAGGAGGGAGCTGGTGACCGGCTCACACCGTGATGCCGTGTGGAAACGTTTTCTCTTACCACCAGGGCCCCCCTTGTTCTAGAGGTGGAGCTGTGCCCAGAAGGGGGTGGGTCACCGCACCCCCCAGGCCTGCCACGGGCCGGATACACGGCCCCACTCACCTCCACAGAAATTCCACCAGGTGGGAGCTCTCGCCCCAGTTTATAGGCGGGAACTAGAGGCTCCAAGGAGCCAGGAACCAGCCCTGCATCGGTCAGGCCCAGAGGGGCCGAGGGCGCCGGGCCCAGGACTCACCGTGTAGACGGAGTCCGAATCGGGGGTCAGCTGCTGCGGACCTTTGGCAGGGCTGGTGGCTGGGCATTTCCAGGCAAGGTGCTTCCCTGGGGTCCGTGCCTGTGGGGGGAGGAAAGACACAGAGGGCTGTGGGGGCTGGGGGGTCGCTCCCCTGCCCCGCCGCACAGACCCCGCAGAGGAAGGCCGACCAGCCGGCGGGAGGCCACACAAGCCCCGTGCGGCCCCTCCGCTCGGCAGCCCCCTCCCAGGACACATGTCCAGGGGTCCAGCGTCCCCGTCAAGCTGCTCCTTTGCCTGGAGACCCCGGGACCCCCGGCCCGACAGCGCAGCCGGGGAGGCCGCGCGGCAGGAGCAGGGCCGGGGCGGGTCCCTGGGCGGCAGCACCCCAGCAGGAGGCCCTGAGCGGGGTCAGCCGGCCTGACCGCACCGTCCCTGTGGCTTCCCAGGGCCCCCCGCGAGATGGCGGCCAGGACGCGCGAGGGGCTGAGGGGTCCCTCGGCCAGGCAGGGCCAGGCAGCTTGTTAGGGCGGCGTGAAGAGGGCCCTGCCCGGGCACTGAGGACCCAGAGGGGGCGGGGAGGACGAGCGGTGTTAGCAGTGTCCGCTGGGGGCAGGGACAGAGCCTCTAGCCTGGGAGGGAGAAGCTGGCGGAGGGGCCGCGGGGCCTGAAGGCTGAGAAGTTCCTCTGCCAGGGAGGGGGAAATCTGAGGAATCTGAAGATGGTCCAGGGGGAGAGAGAGGTGCGGCTGTCAGGAGCAGGCCGGCCGGTGGTGGGGCCGGGGAGCCTGCGGGCAGCGGGCACGTCGCAGGCCTCAGGGGGGCGCGGGACCAGCTGCCAGACTGCAGGGGCGGGAGGCAGGGGCTGGCCGCAGGCTGCCAGCGGGCGGCGGTCAGCAGCTCGGGGCTGAGAGCGGCCTCACATCCCTGGTCCAGCCTCCACGCTGGCCACGGTAGAGCAGCAGCAGCGTCATCTCGGGGCAGGAGCTAATTAAAAGCCCTGGCCGCCTGCCAGCCCGCAGCCCGCGGGCTGGGGATCGGCTCTCAGAGCCGCTTAACTCCCAGCAGGAGCCAGCGCCTCCCGCCCTCAGACGCGGGCGAGGGGACGGGGCTGCCCGAGGGGCTGTCAGCACGCCGCGGTCTCCTGGGCCCCGCAGGCCGCAGACAGCGCACGCTCATCCCTGCTCCTCACCCGACCCACGGCTCAGAGACGGCTCTAGACCGACCTGGGCCACAGAGCAAAGAAGTGGCACAGGCCGGATCTGCGCCTCGGTCTGTGGCCCAGGCCTGGGGTGAGCAGGCAGCGTGCGTGAGGCGCTTGGCCCTGCAGGCCGCAGGAGCCCGGGCGGCCGCTCATTCAGTTCCCGCAGTGGCCCGAGGGAGTGAGCGTGGAATTCCCACTGAGCAGGGGGTAAACCGAGGCAGGCCAGGTAGCCCATGACTGTCCAGGCGGAGCCCACGTGCCCAGTCCTTCAATCCAGCACGCCTCTGTGCACAGTCAGAGGGGGACCACCTCAGAGCAGGGTCTGTCTGTCCTGGGCAGCTCCCCGGGCACAGCCCAGGCCCGAGGGCGCGACCCCACAGCAAGCACTTTCCGGGTGCTGGACCCCGGCCAGAGTTGAGGACCTGTGGTACGCCAGTGGCCCCTGGACACTGACCGCTGGGGTCCCTGTGGAGATGTCACTCTGCAGTCCGGGGCGGGAAGACCAAGTCTGCAGGGGCTGGGGGTGGCACTGCCCCCTGGATTCAGGAAAGGGCTGGCCAGGCTCTCTGAGTCTGAGAGTGGCCCGGCTGGGGGTGGAGACAGTGGGCAGAACACGGGGCAGCGGGCCGGGCGGGGTAGAGAGATGGCAGCAGAGTGAGTGTGGGGCCGGTGCGCAGAGAGGTGCCAGCGCCGGACAGCGCAGGCCTGGCAGGTCTGCGGCCTCAGCCACCACAGAGCTGGGTGCTGGAGGCGGGGCGGGGCGGGGAGGTGTCGGAGTAGCTGGGGGGCAGGGGAGCGGCCAGCTGTGGCCCCAGGTCCTGGGAGCGCAGAGGGAGGCTCCCCTGGAAGGTCACGCGGCCACTTTCTCCCGGGCGGGCGCCCTGCCGGCCACTTGTCCAGCCATCGTCCAGCTGCGGCTTCCGAGGGAGCAAGCCAATGGGCGAGTCCATCGGCGGCTCCGAGGCCGGAGCCTCAGCTGCCCTCGGAAGGCAGGACACTGGCCTAGGCGTCCAGCCCTGCCTGCGGGGCTTGCCTCTGCTTGGTGAGGGGCGGCCCAGCATGTGAGCAGGGTGAGGCGCAGAGCCAGGGCTGTGGGGCAGGGAGAGCGCTGTGCTGTTCCGGGGGTGACGAGCCCCTGGAGAAGGGCTGGGGCTGCAGGACTTGGAGGCAGGATGGGGGGAGGGGGCGGGGGGGCTAAAGTGTGCTCTTGGGCAGGTAAGTGCAGAGGAGGGCTGGAGTTGGGAGGGGTCTGGGCACCATCCGTTGGGGGGGCTGAACCCTGGGATTGCAGGATTCATGGGGGGGCTCTGAGGGAGGGGCCCAGGGCCTCAACTGCATTAAAGACCCCAGGGTTTTTGGGGGGCCATTTCACTTATTCCCGTTTTCCTGGGTCCTTAGCGCGACCTGGGGTGTCGCAGGTGCAGTGACTCTTCGGTGAGTCAACGAACACGTGACTTCCGTCTAAGGGGCCTGGCCCCTTGGGGAGTGGGGGGGTCCCCGCCAGGGCCTTGGTGACTGAGCTGCCCCCGACTCCTACAGCCGGTCTGACAGACCCTGGGGTACCTAGTCCAGGGTCCGCAGGGCCGGGAGGGGCCACGGGGCAGCTGCCTCAGCGGCCCTCACCTGGCCCGTCCCCAGGCGCGGCCGCAGGGTGGGGGTGGCCGCGTGGGGGCACGTGTGGGAGACCCACCTTCTTCCGGAGCAGCAGCGCCGTGCCCAGGAGGCTCAAGACGCTCAGGAGGCCAAGGAAGAACAGGAGCAGGAACTTCCGGGAGCCCAGGGGGGGCTCCTGGTACCCCACGTCTAGTAGGGGACAGAGAGGCAGGGGTCACTAACGGGGGAGCTGGAGCAAGCCCGCCCTAGACCGCGGGGCCCCCTGGGGAAGTGGTGGGAGCCAGGGAGAGAAACGCGCGCGTGCTCAGAGCCTGCTCTCCGCCAGCCCGCGGGCGAGAGACCCGGCGGGCAGCCCTCAGGCCCTGCCGGACCCGCCCGGCCTCCGGCCCGCAGCGACGCACTCGGGCCGCCTCACCTCTGACCAGGATGAAGGTGCCCGGGCCCCTCACGACGATCCTCCCCCAGTGGGCCACGCAGTAGTAGGTGCCCGTGGCGGAGGCCCTGGCCAGCCCGGCGGTGATCTGGCACACCACGGTGTGGGTCTGGTTCTCGGTGCCCGAGCTGGGCGGGCAGGGGACGGTCTGCTCCTTGGACGGCCGGCCCTGCGTGTCCATGTAAAAGTAGGAGACGTCGAAGGACTTGAACTTGGGGGTGTAAAGGTAGGTGATGCTGCAGTTGAAGGAAACGGCTCCGTTGGCCAGGGACACCAGGATGGGGGAGCCCGGCTGGCTCACTGACTGCCCTGAGGGCGAGGAGAGGCGTCACTGAGGCGCTGCCCTGGGCGCCTCCCCGCCCGCCTGCCACACTGTGCCCGGCACCTCCAGCGCCACGGGGCGATGCCAGGAGCCCTGCAGCCCCACAGCGCCAGCTAGGCCCGGCCGTGGCCGCGCTCGGGCCCGTTTGACAGGAAGGAGGAGACCGGGCTCGGATGAGGGGAGAGAGGGCGCCCGCTCCAGCTCCCACCCCCAGGCCAAGCAGCCCGAGGGACCCAAGCCCGTGAGCGCTGAGAGTTAAGTAGGGAGGAGGCAGATGTGCTTCCTGGCCAGGAGCCGGTGGGCCGCCCCGGTGCCGGGAAGGACCAGCTTGCCTGGGGCTGAGCTCAGGGAACAGTTCCTGTTTGCCTGGACTATACCAGCAACGCCCGAGAGTGGACTCCACACGTCGCAGGTGTTGGGCTGCGGCCGTGACCGGCACTCCAGAGCGCACTGAGGGGCCGCGTCCTCCGGGCCCGGGGACCCGCCTAGGGGAGCAGCTTAAAGTCCCAGAAGAGGCAGGCCGGAGGTGCCGGTCAGCTCCTGGACACCCGCCCTCCCTGGCCTGATGGCCCCTGTGCTTCTGGGGGCGTTGCCCCCAGCAAGTCCGCCCCTGCCCACTTCCCCCCCCACCCCCCGCAGACGGCTGAGCTGGGGTCAGCGCCCACAGCCCAGAGCTGCGGCTGCTGACCAGAGAGCACAGTGAGAGCCCCTCAGCCTGGGCAGGCTCCTCGCTGCGGGAGTGAGGTGGGGCCCCTTCGGGGCGGGGCTTCTGCTCTGCTGTCTGCAGCTCAGCCTACCTGGACCCCCAGGGTGGGGGGAGGCCCGGAGAGGCCCAGGGACAGGCAGGCAGAGAGGCCTCTGCGCCAGCTGACCTCTCACAGCTGAGGTGCTGCGCTTCCTGTTGGCGGCTAGAGACCACAGCCTGAAGAGCTGCAGGCGTGGATGGTCCCCGGAGGGCAAGGCTGGCCGCCACCACCGGCCTGGAGGGCACCGAGCAGCTGCTGGGGTGCCCCTGCTGGGCTCTGTGGCCGCCGCCCTTTGTCGCAAAACAAGGCCCCTGAGATGTGGCAGGGCCAGGGCCACGGGCACCCAGGCCACTTCCGGCTCCGAGCCACCCCTGTGCCCCTCGCCCGGGGCCTCCTCACCTGGCCACCTGCCGCCAGGCAGCCATGACCCAGCTTTGACCCACTTCCGCCCAGCTGGCTCTTGCAGTGACCCGGGGCAGCAGGGCAGGCGGCCCCAGGCTAGAGCTTCCTGGGAGGGGTTGGGGGGCGGCGGGCGGGAGCGGACCCAAGTCACCAGAAAAGGGCCAGAACCGCCAGTGGCCCCGGACCCCCTCCCGGGGGTCTCCCGCAGGCCTCTCCTTGACTGTGGGGCAGCGCCGGCCCGGGGGGCTGACCTCGCCTCGCCCTGGGGAGCCACCCAGGGAGACAGCAGGAGCCTTCCGGATCCCCCCACCAGAGGTGTCCCTCACACGGGCAGCTCTGCTGGGGGCGACAGAGCAGACACGGTCGCTGTGCTCTGGATTTGTCCCGAGAAGGCGGGAGGGTGAGGGCGGCGGGCTCGGGGGGCACGCGGCGACCCTCCAACCCAGAGGCCCATCTGGGGACAGGGCCAAACAGTGGGAGGGAGGGAGGGACACTGGGGTGCAGCACAGGTGGAGGTGCTGCCCCCCAACCCAGCCTGACTCCTCCTTCTCCTCGTCTTCTGAATCTGGCCGCTTTGGGCCCGAGATGCTGGGGACCCCATGCTGAATCCTGGGGAGGGCCCCATAACCAGGGACCTGCTGGTGTGAGGGGTGCCTTGCCTTCCGCCAGCACAGCACCCCAACACACACACTCCCGGACAGCTCCAGAGTCCAGTCAAGGCCCCTCCCAGGCGGGGCTGGCCTGGTGCTGTCCCGGGATCCCCCATCAGCCCACCCTGCCCTGCCGGGCACAGGAGCCCCAGGAGCGAGACCCGAAAGCCTCTACCTGGGCGGCTAAGACACGCAGCTGAAGACCGGGACGGGGAATTCGCATTTGCACAGGGCAGGCTCCTGGTTCCAGCTGGTCACACACCCAGGGTGTGTGTGGGGGCGGGGGGCGTTATCTGCCCCCCACTCCCGGGAGCAGCTACAAGCAGCCTCACTTGGTCCAACAGATTGAAAAGGCCGGGCCCGGCCTCCGGCCTCCGGGCGCAGCTGCCCTGGGCCTCTGTCCCTCCCGTCCCGGCTGCAGACAGCAGGTTTGCGGCCGGCAGACTCTGCCCAGCCAGGCTCTTCCTGTGCCCGGGGCGCCCCTGCACCCCCTCTCCCCGCCACTATGTCACCTGCTCCCCAAGCCCCGGGGCTCCTTCTGCGCAGAGCCCCAGAGAGGCTGTGGGGTCCCCCTCTGCAGAGGAGGCGCCGTGGCTGGC